TTTAACGGTTTGTTTTGCTCTGATTATATATAAATGTTTTATTATCATTAACTACAATTTTTAAGAACACGTAAGTCAGTATATGTAAGTATTAGTATACCCCAACTTGATTTGTACAATCTAATATTACAATATACCCCAGTATAATCCGAAAATAAAGGGTGTTTCAAAAATGCAGCCCAAAAACACACACACTCGCTCCCAAAGTTGACCAGCGGGTATGGCGCGAAATTCGTGCATTAAATGGAGTGAACTTCCGGTTGGTAAAAGCTGCGGCATCGAGTGCCGGCTCCTCCATCGCGGGTATTTCTGGTCAGGACGGGACGCGGGATAGATGGAATCAACTGCTGAATTTATGCCCACTGGCCAATAATCCATTTTTAGGGCCATCAACCAAACCGAAATATTGGCTCATCCATTGTTTCCGTGCTAATTGTTTGGGACTACTTTTGCCAGCAATTTGCCAGTGAAAATCCCTCTTTGATTCTGCCATTTTTCCATTCGCAGTGCCACCCACTTTCCAATTTTTGGTTTTTTTTTTTTTTGGAATAGGGGAAGGAAGGTGGATGGATTTGCGGGCACAGCTGCTGCGAAGGCTTGCAATTATTTTGCAAACAATGAAATTGTTGCTGCGTGTGCAAACATAAAATCAAATTGTGTGTAGGTGTGTGCAGCTGTTGCGGCATACGGATACGGATACAAGGACCGAAAACAGACGCAGATACAGATACAGATACAAAGATACTCGGTAAGGTGTCGCATCTGCGGGCGAGCATTTGCCTTGATTTGATTTCGCCCTGTTTTACCTATTTGGGGGAGTCCATAGATATGCAAATTACTTGTCGGGCGGATGGCAGGTGATGGCTCCATAAAAACCGTAATCAATATGTCGGCCGAGAAAATCAGGGAAACGTGTGCCATTACATTCGCATTTACTTGGCAGTTGGGCAAATGAATTTAAATAAGCGCAGGCAGCAGCAGCCAGTGATTCGCTAACAAAGTGCAAATCGAGAGAAATAAATCACTGGGCCGCGACACGGAGCCACAAACTCCACGATCTGGCTAAATTAATCACTTGGCAATACATCAAAACAAACAGATCATGACAAATGCAGAGCGTAAATCGAGCAGGGACTTTCCCGGCCCCCGATCACTACTCCTTTATTATTCTGCGCCTCCGAAGACACCTCTTTATTGTCCGTCGCCTCAGCTCTTTCGTTTTGATACTCTCTGGTAGAGGAGAATTTCAGAAATATAAAGCAAATGGCACTAATAAATGAATAAAGTTTAATAATAAATATATCAATAATTCCTATATTTCTTGTAATTATTTATAACAAGCTATTTAAATATAAGGAATTAATTTGTATGTGGTTTACCAAATGTATTCAGTTGTGCTACGTATTTTTAACATATAAAAACACTGCCTAAATTTAATGTTATTTTATTGTTATTGGCAACCCCTTATTCATAGTTTTTCCCTTAGAAGAGCACTTCTTGTTCGACTTCCTTAAAATGTCATATCTTTTACTGCTGCTTCTTTAATTAAAATAATTTTAACGTTTGCGGGCTGCGCTTTTTCCACGTGAAATTCCACCGCAGAACAAAGAGGAGACCCAGACGACATAGTCGACGTCATGTTCGCTTGTCTAGAAATGTGTCCGCTGGCCAGGTTTTGCATTGCATCCAACACCAACTCCATTACTAGCCAGTCCCTGTATAATCCCCAGTCTCCGGCCAATGCCAACGCATAAATTATGCTTCGTTGTCGTGGCGGGAAAAAGTAGAAGTCGAATAGAGTCTGAGGTGACAAAAGGTACCGAGAACAGAGAACCGGGACCAAGAAATGGGAGACTTGCTGCGGGAAATTTCTTGGCAGGCAGAAAATAGATTTTCCTGACTGACTGACTGCCTGGCTGGCTGGCTGGTTGGCTTCATTGTCCGAGGCGCAATGGAGTTTTAATTGTCCAACGGGGCCACATAAATTTTGGCTGCGCGATTTAAGATTTTCTAAAACATTTGAAGTCAATCTATCGCAGCCCCTTAATGGTCAGCCAGGTGCCAAAAGGAGCAGCATCCCAGACATGACCGCAACAGTGAACAGAGAACAGAAAAGCAAGAAACACAATGTTTCGGCACAAAAACAGAACACATAAACTTTTGGCCATCAGCCAGGCCAGACGATGGCGATGTCGGGACAGGAAAACTCTTAAAGTGTCGCCGCCCATGGAACCAAATCGGTCGAGAGTGGGGAAATGTTTTGCATTTCAAATTGCATTTTAATCGCATTTCAACCTGAAATGCCATTAGACATAATTCGTTTAGCTGCATTTGTCATTGGCCCTGCTCTATGTGCTGTATGTTCTGGCCAAATCATTTCGATATGGCCATAGTTGGGGGCTTTTCGGGACTGTTTCGCTCCAGTGGAGGACAATTGACGTCCGCACACGTAAATCAACTTTGGCATTGATTTCCACTGGCTGACTGGCTGACTGAACGTCCCAGGATGATTGCGATTTGTATGCAACTGTCCAGATTATGCAATCACTCCCCCATGTCAAATTCGTCCTGCCGTAATTGATTGTGAGCCGTCGCCCATCCACTGGCATTTAATCAATTTATGCCCGGTGCCCGAATCGACATTCGAGGGTGCTGAATGAGTCCGTCGAGTTTCGAGTCGATCGATGCCGGTGCACTGCACCCGGTGCTCTGCCTTGGCACCTGTCACCACCTTCGATCGAATGATCAATCTGCACTGCCCAAAAACAGTGCCAACGAATTAGAAGGAATGAATACAATGTTGAAGACAATGGACCAATTTGCAAATTTTTAAGTCCTATCCTACATTCTCCCATTCTCCATTCTCCCGTTAGCAAGTCCATATCCGCTATACAGAATAAATGAAATACCTCATTCATAATTTTAAAACACCTAAAGAAGGCATTTCATTTATTTTTTTTAAATACTTTTCTTTAAGAAAGAGTTTAGATCTTTTTTTAAAAATTTCATTAAGCTGTATCTATATTTATTAAAATAAATTTTAAAAAATATTTATTATTTGTTTTTAAACTATTGGGAAATTTTTCTTTAATTATGACTCATATAATTCCTCAAGGAATCTTTTTAGGGTATTAAGTATTAAGGCTCAGTGTCTTTACAAGTTTCTAAATTTTTGCTTAGCTAAAAAGCATCTGCAAATAGTGGGGGCAATGTCTCTTTCTTCTGTGAGTTGTTCAGGTATAAATAGAGAACTCACCTTGCCGATGAAGGTGTTGAAAGGCAGGTCCACCGATTGATCGCCTGATCGGTGACATATCTAGATTTAAATTTAAATTAGCCCGACGCAACTTATCGATTTACCCAAGCTGACCCTGAGTTTGGCAGAGACATGAATTTCTTTCTTTTACGTTACATTATTTTTGCCCGGCCATCTGCTTGAAAAACTCAATTTCCTGCGCGAAGACTGGGGAACCCATCAAATGCTTTATTACGGCAGACCGCAACTTGAAATTTAACACACGTTGTACACACACACAGTTGGTTTTGACCCCTTCGGTCTGTCTGGGCTGTGCGCCGCTACTTTTTCATTTTTCGCATGTAATGTGTGTAATCAAAGTAACAAAATCCAAATCATATTTCCTTCATTGACCACAAAATGTGGGCGGCCAACCCTTTTCCCTCCGCCAACCTACCCATTCATCTTCGGTGCGCATATAAAACATTTTACTAGATTTATACAATCAATGCTCTCCGCCTCGGAACATTTCTTAACCTTGTTAGATACGTTTTTCCTCTTTTGGCTGTGGGCAAAATTATTGGTCTGCGCATATGTAATCATCTCTGTGGAAAAGTAGAGGTTGGTTGGGCCGAGGACACACCATAAAGTGCACACAATCAAATCGAAATTCGTTTTTAGGTACAACTCCTTTGAGGCTGTGGCTATATGCGACTGTCTTGGGTACGCTTTAGGGGTTATTCCTTTATCATCCTTGATTTCCTGTGCAGGACACTCTGAATTCTTACAGGCGGACGGGGTCTGCATTTGGCCATTTGATAGTCAGCAGGACTTTTTCGCATATGTCGGCAATTTTTTATTTATTGACATTGCGCTTTATTAAAAGGTGTTGGGCGGCCAGTCATGGCAACAAACCTTTTGGCAATCCCGACTATATTAGATTTTATAAGATATATTTGGTTTTTATTTTTTCTACAAGTTTTTAAAGTCGCCCCAAGGGAAATACTTAAATAAAATAGATGTAGATGACTAACTTACATGCAAATAACTCAAACAAAAGGTGTATTATGGAATGGGTTCCGTGGATTTTAACTAACAAAACTGCCGAATCAGCTGGTTCAGCAGGTTGGGGGCCAAAGGTCTGACACCAACACGTCGCTTGGCGGTGGGCGAGAGTTCATTATTAAAAGTTTTTAAAAGCAGATAAGTGCACAGACTGATAGAGATATACTCGTATCCCAGCTTGGCAAACACACCCAAATACACACGCAAAAACGAAGTAACACCGAACGAAAAAATGTGTAAAGCTATAAACTGTTCTTACTTTAAGTCAATAACTTTATAAATAAATTGAAAACTATCAAAAACAGCGATGAGTAGCCGAAATGCTAAGCTTTAGTTAAGGGAACCCTTTTATGTGTGATTAAAAATAAAAGATAAATTTATTGTGTTTTCTTTAAACACAATAGTCAAAATTAATCAAAGAAAAGATACGAATTATTATGCTTCATTAGTCTACTTAGTTGTTTCTCGCAGTGAAGTGAAGCGATAACGATAGCCCCTGCTCGGGCGCCACTTCACCTCTAATTGAAACATTAAGTTGCACATCACGTACGCGGTGTCAGACACTAGACGCCATCCAGGAATCGGGGAAGGAGGCCGCCTAGGAGTATGCTAAAATGCGGCTGCGGTGGCCTTTGGTTTTACCTTGGTCCTGGAGCACCAGATGCCGCTTCCCTTCCGTTACCCCCTCGACTATCAGGACTATCAACCACTCAGCACTTTATTTTTTCCGTGTTGGCATTTTAAAAAGGCATTTAAGCTGAGCTGGGTGGGTTTTTGTTAAGTGTGCAGAGTGATTATGCCGGAAATTTGTTTGTCTATGATTTCGTTCTGCTCAGTTTCGAAGAGGTGCCCGTGGCATGGGGCAAACAGGGTCTGATAAAGATCTGCTTCCATTCGCGTATCCACTCGGTCATCACTGTCAAGAGAGTTGGGTTTTAAATTCGGGTTAATCACTGGCACGAAACTCACCCCATTTGGAACCCACTATCACTGGGCAGGCGGCATGTTGTGTGCGGGGATCACCGTTCCCATCAGTATTCAAGTTAAACCAGAAGATGGCTGTTCCAGCCCGAGGATATATGGAGTATCCTGCATTCCTGAAGATCGTGGCTCCACCCTGTTCAACGTCGGTCAACTGCAAATGAGGGAGTAATTGAAATATCAACCAATAATTATTCACTACATCTACTTACATAAAAGAGCACTGTGGCAATTCGATCACCCAAAAAAATTGCCTGGCGATTACGTTCTCCCGAATAATTAGCAGATGCAAAGTCAAAGTAATCAGAGTGCGTGTGATAGTGTCCACCTATCCCATAGTTAATCACCTGCAAAATGAATGCGATTCAATATAGTAAAAGTTATAATAAATCCAAGATGTTACAACCTGAAATTCTTCGGAATCGGTCAAGTCAAAACCAGTCATGTCTTGAATCCGCCTATCGATTCGTCTGGTTAACTCGTCATTCTCCTTACTGAACCAATGTCCCTTTGCTGTCCTCACTTTGTTTTTGTTTTTCGGATTTGTGTTATAGATTCTGGCCACTTCCATTTTCCGAGAGGCACGACTCATCAGCAGGGACATTTCCCGTTTGGATAGAACTTCATGATAGAGCACCATATATGGATCCAGTCCGATTTGCTCAGTTTTTAGTGGTGCCAGACGAAGGAATGGTGTGGTAGTGAAGTTGTAGAAACAGTGCAGTCTACTGGACCTCTCGGAATTTCCCCTGCAGCTCACCTTATAGCCCTTTCCAATTGAAGCTTTCAGCTGCTTATTTTCCGGAAGTATAGTTTTTGGTTGACTGGCAATAAAGTCCATTGTTTTTAGTCTGAGTCGCAGAAGAGCAGCATCGTGGGGCTTAAGCTGCTGACAATTATCCAGCAGAATCAATGCTTTTGAGAAGTGTTCTAGAAAACCCTGATTATATTTGTTATTGCTAATGGTAGGACAACTTACTTAGATTCACGTGCATTTCAGCCAGTAATTTCAGGACCTTCACCTCCTTTATTGCCAGGTGCTCTGGGAAAAGGTCTTTCTTTAGGCGGTGGGGCATCTCCTGTAGCCAATCAACAGCTTTCGCTGATCTATTTTCCTTTGAAAGATGCTCACCCACTGCAAAAATATCTGCAGAACTCATGCTGGCACTTTAAGGGGTGGCCAAAAGATATTAACAATATTTTAAAGGCAAAAACTTCTAAATGATACCCACTTATACTGTTTTCCATCAAGTTTACCGTTGATAAAGTCACTTGTTCCTATGTTGTAGGTGCTCTGAATGCGGATTATTCCGGTACAAGCATCCCACAAGTCTAGTTTTGTGGGTAGTTCGCCCTGCCAAAGAGCCAAATTTCGCATTTGGGAGATGCCCACTGGTTGTTCCAAGTATTTTCGCCACTTAAACCAATCCTGATGCAGTCGTCGGATGAGTGAGAAGCCATTCAGAGGATTGGAGAGATAGGATATGGGATCCCGTCTACCTTTCTCGTTCTCAGCACGCATCACTGCGATTTGGCTAAGGAATGCTGTTTTATACATAGAAGATGTTATATACTGTAGAGTATATTCACCTCCTTATGATCTGCAGCTTCTGCTCTAGGGCCTTGGCATAGTTATTGAGGTTATCGATCAATTTCCTCTCAATATCAAGCAGCGGAACCATTGTCACCAAAGACAATGATTGACTCCTTTCCACAGGACTTTTTTCGAAGGCCATAGTGCTAAAAAGCAATACCGTCTGCAGGAATACTAGTAAAAACATCCATTGTGGTCTTCTTAAAGCCATATATTATATTATCAAAAATGTACTTTTGTAAATAGACATTTAAACAGGCCTACTTTATATATAGAACTTCTTACCTATACCTCGAGTAATCCAATAACTACAATTATTATGATTATATATATTTTTTGGTAGTATTTTTAAGCAAACTACTTATTAAAAATATTTGATGAGGTAGTAAACACACTAATATTTGAAAAATATCTTGCCGTTTTACAGCTAATATAAAAAGGTGATTCGCTTGTTCTATTGACTATATGACTGAGTTTTACTAAAAACTATATATATACATCTTAAAAGCAGAAGAAAGCGGAATATTTGTTTGTTTTAATGACCTTTATGTCATTTGTTATGACCTAGAAATAAGTATTCATAATATTTTTTGAACTAAAGTCTAAGCTAATTGCTGATACTACAAAATGTAGCAGGTATTTCCACTTGTTGATTATGATGAATGGTTTTTGGCTAAAGACACTTCTAATTATACAGCTCACGAATGTTCAGTACTGATTTCAAGTTGTTCTTATCGCTAGTAATGCGATTTTAATTGACAGCATGATCGATTTTTGGTTGACTTTATTGAGTTTTATAGTGGGCTATTATCACTTGTCTACATTTAGTTAACTTGAGAATCACTTTCGCCTTTTGAGGCAAGGTCTGCTGAATATCTGTTCGCGCTCTCGAATCCATTTGTTGCACACTATAAAAAATAAATTAAAGGATACAGAATCGCGTATTAATGTTTATAGCAGATATAACTTACCCCACTTAGATCCCACTATAACGGGACAGGCGGCATGAAGAGTTTGAGTATTGGGTTTACCGTCATCGTTGAGGTTGTACCACATTATGACTGATCCACGTTGGGGGAAGACTGCTGTCTGAATGTTTGGAAAGACGGTGGCACCGCCCTGTTCCACATCTGATAGCTGAAAATTATGATAAAAATAAAAATTATAAAGTACACAATATTGCCAGATAGCGTATTCAATAGTGTTGTTAAATATTAAAACTTTTTAGTATCAAACTTATACTCACATAGAAGAGTACTGTGGCAATGCGATCGCCACTCATGAGAGTAATATTGGAGTTCTGTTAAAGAAAGTAACCATATGGTAAGTAAAGCATTTTCAAAAGTACATTTACCTACAGTTTGGTTGAAGAAGTCGTAGTGCTTGTCGTAGTGGCCACCCAGGCCGTAGTTCATCAGCTGCAACATCTCGGAGCCGTATAGATTGAAACCGGTCATGTCGGAGATACGGGCATTCAATCGAACGGTTAGGGGGCTATAGGAATCGGGGAACCAGGTAACTTTGGAGGTCCGGGTCTTTACCACCTCGTTGCGACCAGAGGCGGCCTGGAAGACAGTGGCTCTTTTGAGACCCGGAGTGGCCATCCCCTGAAGTTCTTTGATTTCCGCCGCGGAGAGCACATCGTGGTAGAGCACCATGTACGGGTCCAGACCCACCAGTTCCATCTTGAGAGGAGCGAGGATCAGGAAGGGCGAGGTGGTGCTGTTGTACCGACAGTGGAGCCTCCCATCCACGGACGGTGGGAACTGACCTCGGCAGCCCATCTTGTAGGCTTCTGTTGCTCCCTGTTGAACCTGTAGTGGTTTCGATTTCAGTTAAATTTAGCCCTATCTGAGTGGGTGACTTTATCAGCCAGTCGACAATACCTTGGGTGCCTGATTTTTGGTGTCCGTCCTTATCATCGTTTCAATTTCCGACTTCTTCAGCAACAGTTTAATGTCATGAGGCTTATCAGCTAGTGCAATGTTGACAACTTTCAGGGCATCCGCGTTTTGGTCTGTTTGGAGCCGACTATAAAAACAAGTTTCCATTGGGATTGTGGAGAAACTCACTCAATTTAAGTAGGGCTTCGGCGTAGACCATTCGCACCTCGGTTTTGGAAACCTCCAGGGGAGCAGATATTGTATAAACCTCCATCAAAACTATCGACTGATACAGCCAACCAGCAGCTGCCCAATAGTTTCCCTGATCGAAGAGAATTTGTCCCATGGCGTAGGTGTCCAATGCTGTTAAACTCACACTGTAAAAATAAATAAAGAGTTAATGGTTGTTTTCCATTTTAATATCCATAAACTAATTTAATTTACTTGTACTGCCTTCCATCGAGGAGCCCATGAGCAATCTCAGCCACTTGAAGGCCATAGGTGCTCTGAATGCGATCCAAGGCGGTCACAGCCTCCTCCACATCCGTGCTGGTGGGCATATGCTCTCTAAGTTCCTGAATCTTCTCCATCTGCGTCAGACCCACAGGATCATCGATGTAGAGCTGCCAAATCGTCCAGTCACGATTCATGCGGCGAATGAGAGAAAACGAGTTCAGGGGATTGGACAGATACTCCTCCGTTGAACCACGGGCTCTGTCGTTTTCCAAACGCATGCTAGCTATGCTCCTAAATAAAAATAAAGAACAGAAAATAGTTAGGAAACATAGTTAGATGTTATGGGTCATCTTAGATATATTACTACAATTTAACAATTTCATAATATTTGTAATGGTTTCTTTTTCAACAAGGTAACATGCTCTAAGAATTTAGTTCGAATAGTATAAGAATTTTGGTGGAAACCCAAAAGTAATCGAAACTAACTAGTAATCGGAAATAAAATAAAATCAATTGAATTAGCTTAATTGTTTTAGAAATGCATATAAATATAAGCATTACAATTAGCCCGTGTAAAATTACCTTTGGAAATTAGCCACGGTCTACAGTATTACACACCTTTTAACGATATCCAGCTTTTTTTCCAGCTCGTCAGCGTAATCGGCCAGGTTATCGATTAGCTGCGCCTCCAGGTCGAGCAACTTGACCATTCCGGCCACCGAGGTGCAGTGGCTCTCCTCACCCTTCACCAGCCGGTGGAGGAGCACCTGGCAGGTGAGCAGCATCAGCGGAAGCAGCCACTTGGAAGAGCGCATCGTTTGGTACCTTTCTGGTCGGGGTTCTAAACGGGTCTACGTGCCAGAGCCAACTGTCGAAGCCACAAACAGTCGAAGTTGGCAAGTTAACATCGGGCCGAGATAAATATTCACCGTTTTCCGTTTATAGCGATTCTTTCGCCACCTGATAAGCGCCGCATTGATAGCGGCACGCAGCGATTTAATTAACCCAAGAGTACCGGAACAAAAGTAACGCGTTGGCACTACGTGCCCACGAATCGAGCTGCGTCATCGAAAGAACGTGCCCACTGACGAGATCACTGACCACCGGCAAGAATTGCGGGGTGTCTACACTTTCTGTAATGGTCAAAGGGGGGAATCACCCACTCAGCAGTACTTATAGTTGGAATCACTAGTCCAATGCACAGTTGAGCCATTCGGCTGTAATCTTTTATTGATAAATAAATATATGTGTACATTAAACTAATAAGAACTTGTAGATAACAATCCATAACTTGGTATTGGGGTCAACAAGTTTCAGATCTGATTGAAATATTACTTATTATATGCATTTAAATAGCGCAACTGTACCCAATTATTTAAAATTTAATTATTATTTAATTATTTTATTAATTATTTAATTTAGGAATCCAAATGTTAGGCCATTTTTTCCTAAACTATATAGCTTGATGTCACTACTCCAATTACTTTAAACTTCATTGGCTCACATTTCACATTCACAGCAAAAATTCCTATTTTATACATTTTTACACGCACAAATTCAAATCCTTGGTCGGCATGATCAGTAAATCCATGTATTGGATTCGTGGTCGGAGATGGAATTCGGGTACCGAATCTGAGTTCCTAATCTACCAACCCGATTCCCTGCGGCCAGTGCTGTTTTTATTTTATACCCTGGAAACGGTGTTCAACATGTTCTGCATGGGGTTTCACATAGAGGGCTTCATGACCGTCGATATGGAAACGCTCCACTGGGATGGCCAGTCGCTGCAATATTTTTACCTGGTCACTTTCTACATTTTTATGGTTTGGACTCCGTTTCAGAGCATTGGGATTTGCACGGGTCACAGGCCCAACGTTTGTGTGGAGATCTGGAAGTCATTGGCTGCCGCCATTGCCTTCATCATAATATCCCTGACCACGATGTGGGATGCAGAGCGGCAGTTTCATCTGTTCTTTGATACTGAAGTCAAGGAGGTATCGGGCAAATACAACGCGCCAGTTCCCGTTCACCGGTTCTTTTACTATATGCGGGGACAGTCCATTTCCTCGTTGGCCTGTGGACTTCTCTATATGCTCCATGCCACCATAATGATCGACGTCAAGTTGACCACGGACTTGAACAACGGCGAACATGGTGGTAACCACATGCCCATCCCCTTGTTTGTAATGGGCGGAATGGTCCACAGGAAGCTGAATTCCTACGAATGGTTCCGGGAGTTCTGCGAGAACAACACCATTGACTTATAGTTGCTCTTTCTAGAACCTAAAATTGTGGATTGTACTCGTGTATGTAATAATATTGATTTATGTAAACACTACTAATAATAATAGTCTTTAAGAAAAATGTATTTTTGCATTATTTTATTTTACTTTATAGGCTAGTTCATAAGTGTTAAAAGATCAAAATGTTATTGTATACGGAGTCCTTGCTTAAGTAACTGTTGAGGAACCTCACTAATATTTATAATAATCTAGCATATTTAATAGCATGTAAGATATTCTTTTCTTGAGATGGTCTGGTCTTACTTTGTTATCGGTCTCTCTCTCTTCTTCCTGACCACGAGCTGTCAACATGTGAAATAAAAGCGTATATTCCTATTGTGAACTAATTGACTAATATTCTATCAACCCAATTTGAAGGTGGTCTTACAAACCATTTTAGCGTGATCTATTCACCATCATTGTCTGGTCCTTCGAGCCGGATTACTTCCGCATCTACAAACTGTTTAAGTATATCTACACACTATGGAGCAACAGACGCTTAAACGCCTTACCCAAGCACGTGGTCGGCTAAAGGCGACCGTAACTCGCTTGGTCAATTACATTGAGAATCCACCTCCACAGAGCACTTACTCCGGAGTCGATGCCATGCTGGCCCGGCTAAATCAAGCCTTCAGAAGCCTTGAGGAGATCACTGACGAAATGCACGTGTACGATAATGTGGAGGGTTTCGAGGATCCTACCGAAGACTTCCAAGCCTATGAGGAGAAGTACCTGCGCGCGCTTACCTTATTCGCGTCGTTAAAGAGCGACCTTCAGCCAAGCGCCATACCTCAAGCGGATCACAACATGGCCATATTGCTGCAACAGCAAAGTGAGTTCTTGCAGCGACTTTCTGAGAACGGAGCATCTACCTTGGCCACGCCGCCGCCTGCTGCAGTTTGTTTAACTGAAAACCCGTTGCCGAAAATCCACATCAAACCCTTTGGTGGAGACTACAAGGAATGGCCAGCCTTTAAGGACATTTACGAGAGCACCGTCCACAACAAGACCCACCTGGGAAAGATTCAGAAGTTTCACTACCTTAAGTCTTTCATAGTTGGTGAAGCGGCCAATCTTCTCAGTCACATGTCCATTACGGAATCAGCTTATGATTCAGCATGGGAACGCCTCAATGATCGCTATGATCGCCCAAGGCATATCGTGAACTCCTTACTGGACACTTTCATGGCACTGGCTGCTGCACCCAACGGCGAGGTGTCTAATCTACGCAAACTTACTGATGGCGCCAATGAAATCATTCGTGGCCTAGATGCAGTTGGGGAGACCAGCCGTGACTGCTGGGTGATTCATCTTGTACTGGCTAAAATTGATCCCGACTCTAGAAGGAAGTGGATTGAGGACACCAGAGGCTCAGCGACACCGACCGTTGCCGACTTGTTTAGATTCCTTGATGATCGTTGCGAGGATTTTGAATTAAGCCAAGCTACATCGGCAATCAAACTCGATCCTGGCAGCCACACGGACAAGCCTGCCAAAGCGAAGCGCGCACTTATTGCAGTGAACCGTGGCAATTGTGGTAAGTGTGGCTCTGCTGACCATCAGCTGTATAGATGCTCTCAATTTCAAAATCTGAACACTGAACATCGGCGCTCCTTTGTGAAAGGAAAGTCGCTTTGCTTCAATTGCCTACGCCCTGGCCACCGATCTTCACAATGTCAATCGAAACATTCGTGCAAGCACTGCAATGGCCGTCATCATTCTCTTGTACATCCTGAAAACATGGATTCCATGACAGTTGCTCCTGCGGACACTGCACAGGCCAGTCCTCAAACTTCTGGATGTAGCTCAACTTTGGTCGCCCAGAAGCAAAACAGCAGCTCATTAACACAGTCACCGGGACTCAAAAGAAGCACATTGCCCACAGCTTTGGTGTATGTCCAAAACTCTAAAGGGACTTACACAATTTGCCGTGTGCTTTTGGATAGCGGCTCTGAGCTATCCTACGTTTCTGAACGATGCGTCAACGCACTTGGGCTTGCACGTTCACCCTCAAGAATACTAGTTTCCGGAATATCTTCCGTCAAGGCCGAAACTACAAGAGGATTGGCAACGCTGCATATCAAGTCAATGGTGTCACTCCAGACGATTGTTGTCGCAGCCCATGTGCTGGGCAAAATCACATCATCACTTCAGCGGGACGACATTGACGAAAAAGCTTTAAGGATCTACGATGGACTCCAGTTAGCTGATACTTCGTTTAACACATCTTCATCTGTAGACATTTTACTGGGAAACGAACAAATTTGGTCCGTTTTGTCAGGTGATAAAAAATATGACACCGCTGGAAATATTATTGCCATCAGCTCAATCTTTGGATGGATAATCACTTCCGTTGCAATGCCGCATCCATCAACCGCCAACACGCTCATGACTACTGTTGACATAAACGCCTCTCTTCAACGCTTTTGGGAGATCGAGGATAACACTGAGCATACACAACGAGACCCTTCGCACGAAAAGGTGGAGCAGCACTTTCTGACCACACATTCCCGAGACCCAGACGGCAAATACATCGTTGAATTGCCTTTTAAACACGAATGCCAAGAGTTCGGAGACAGCCTGCAGGGCGCTGTCTCGCGCTTCTATGCTGTGGAACGTCGCTTGCAGCGTGATTTGGAGCTACGCAAGCAATATTCAAAATTTATGAACGAGTATCTAAGCCTAGGTCATATGCGTAAGCTGGCCCCTGAAGAATGCAACACATCAGCCAAAACATTTTACATGCCACACCACCCAGTTCTAGGAAAGAAGCTGCGCGTGGTATTTGACGGGTCATTTGAAGACGTAAACGGACATGCTCTAAATGACGCCTTACACATCGGACCCAGCATACAACGCAACCTTTTTCACGTATGCCTTCGCTTTCGAATGCACAAGTTTGTGTTTTCGGCGGACATAGTTAAAATGTTTCGCCAGATCTGGGTTGCCCCTCAGCACCGCAACTTTCAACGGATCGTATGGAGAGAAGCTCCGAAAGATCCTCTTCAACACTTTCAACTCTGTACAGTCACCTATGGAACAAGCTGTGCACCGTTTCTTGCTGTCAGAGTACTGGAACAACTAGCGCGAGACCACCACGATGAGTTTCCCACAGCCTCAAAAATTGTGCTTGAGGACTTTTACGTAGACGATGTCCTCACCGGCGCTGAAACTGAAGACGAACTACTTAGCTGCCGCGACGAACTCATCCAGTTGATGTCCAAGGCTAAGCTTGAGCTTGGCAAATGGGTGTCTAACAGCAGCGTCATCAGCCACACCCGGCAAGACGAGCTCCAGATAACCAGTGCGGTTAAAGTTTTAGGAATGCTATGGAATCCCCAAGACGACGTCCTGTCCTACAAAGCTTCACTTTCTACGGAGCCAGATGCTACTAAACGGCAAGTATTGTCAGATGTCTCACGAATTTTTGATCCTTTAGGTATTCTGGCGCCTGTGGTAGTGCAGTTCAAGATCCTTTTTCAAGAACTCTGGCTACTTGACCTGGACTGGGATTCCAAACTCCCACCGAAGCTGGCTGAGTGGTGGCAGACCTGTCGCGACGATATCAACTACATAACAAACCTAAGGATTCCACGTTATGTACACAACGAATCGGAAAAAATCGAATTACATGGATTTTCAGATGCATCTATAAAGGCATATTCCGCTGTCGTCTACAGCCGTGTAAGCAACGCGGACGGCACCTGCTTGGTGTCCCTTATGGCAGCTAAAACACGCGTTGCGCCACTAAAGCAACAAAGTCTTCCACGGCTGGAACTCTGTGGTGCACTATTGCTCACTCGCCTTCTCCGGGCTGTTAAAGAAGGCTTGCATCACAAGGATATAGTTGTGCATGCTTGGTGCGATTCCACGATTGTCCTTTCGTGGCTGTCGCACACCCCATCGAAGCTGAAAACCTTTATCGCCAACCGTACTTCGGAGATCCTGGATGTCATACCACGCAGCGCATGGCATCACGTTGGCTCAAAGGATAACCCTGCCGATTGCGCATCGAGGGGAATGCTAGCAGCCAATCTCATGAGCTATGAGCTGTGGTGGAATGGACCACATTGGCTACACCTCAACGATCTGCTTGCTTCAAAGCTGCGTAGTGGCAACAATCCCACAATAATTTTGGACACGCCCATAATGGACGGGCTGAAATCCTCTTCACTATCCAGCCGTGTTGAACCTGAACCTGAAGCGTCCCCGATTGAGTGTCTATCGTTTCGAGTTTCTTCCTGGACCAAGCTGATTCGCTGCACTGCTTATGTTTTACGGTTTATGCATCGAAGAATGAAGAAACGGATTCCGTCAAACCTCACACTCACGTTTGAGGAAATCAGCGAGGCCCGCATTTATTGTCTAAGGCACGCTCAAGGAAGCTTCTCATCCGATCTACACCTGTTGCAAAGGGGAAAAGCTGTTGCAAATTCGTCAACACTTCGAACACTCTCACCCATGGTTTGCAAGGATGGCCTGCTTCGTGTAGGTGGGCGCCTCTCAAACTCGCTACTACCGGAGGAAGTCAAGCATCCAATTATTCTGCCGAAACATCATCGCATTTCTCTGCTAATTTTGGAACACGAGCACAGGATACATCTTCATCCAGGTGTGACAGCACTTTTCGTCATCGTTCGCCAACAATATTGGATAGTTGGCGCACGCAACATGATTCGCAAGCTTACACATGCTTGTCTCAAATGTTTTCGCCAACGCCACAAAACAACTGATCAATACATGGCTGACTTGCCAGCCGTTCGGGTACGTCAAGCATACCCATTTGAAAATACTGGGTGCGACTATGCCGGACCGCTTCTACTCAAGGTGCACAAGGGACGGAATCCACGAAAGGAAAAGGGATACATTTGTCTATTCGTCTGCCTAGTGACCTCCGCAATCCACTTGGAGTTGGCTACAGATCTCAGCACGGAGACATTTCTCGCTGCACTTCGTCGTTTTATCTCCCGTCGAGGCAAGTGTACCCACATCTTCAGCGACAACGGTCGCAACTTTGTGGGAGCAAAGAAGGTGTTAGACGAAATGTATAAGCTCATCCTGTCGCAGCAGCATAACACTCAAGTAACCCAAGCGTTGGCCAGTGAGGGTATCAAATGGAGTTTTATACCACCGCACGCACCCCACTGGGGCGGAAAATGGGAATCAGCTGTTCGCTCCGTAAAGCTTCATCTGCGTCGTGTCATCGGGAATTCTATCCTCACATTTGAGCAAATGCACACCCTTCTGGCTCAAATTGAATCCGTCGTCAATTCACGCCCTCTCTTCGCTACGTCAGACATCGAGGTTTCCTACTTGTCACCCGCACATCTGCTGATTGGACGCCCTTATACATCAGTTCCAGAGGGCGATCTTGGCCACATAGCAGTTAACCGACTGGATTACTGGCAAAATGTACAGGCAATGCTACAAGGCTTTTGGAAGAGATGGCATCAGGAGTACCTCACTACACTTCAACAGCGCCCAAAGTGGAATACGGAAAGGAAGAACATTGCTACTGGGGATATGGCGATCATCAAGGATTCAAACACACCCCCCGCCGCTTGGACTTTGGCGCGCATAATTGAAGTCTACCCAGGCAAGGACGGGCTGGTACGGGCCGTAAAGCTGCGAACTTCATCAGGAGAACTTGTTAGACCCATTTCTAAAATTGCCATCCTGCCTAATTCAGAAACTTAGTTTCAGGGTGGGCCGGGATGTTGAGGAACCTCACTAATATTTATAATAATCTAGCATATTTAATAGCATGTAAGATATTCTTTTCTTGAGATGGTCTGGTCTTACTTTGTTATCGGTCTCTCTCTCTTCTTCCTGACCACGAGCTGTCAACATGTGAAATAAAAGCGTATATTCCTATTGTGAACTAATTGACTAATATTCTATCAACCCAATTTGAAGGTGGTCTTACAAACCATTTTAGCGTGATCTATTCACCATCAGTAACCTTTGCTTTTTGCACTTAAAAGGTAGTTAAGTCACTGCACAATTTGCATGGGAAGCCAAAGTAGTAATTTAATTTAGTACATTACCAAAATGACTCAAGGTCTAAAAATATTTGTCACTGGAGAACACAGTCACCTAAATCATAGTTATTTGTTTACTCAGTTTACATAGTAATGTCTCAGTCCATAAAAAGATCAAAAAATGATACCTTAACGAAAATAGACAGTGTGGTTGGCCGTTACCAACCCGAAGCACTGCGTCCCGTGTTGTTCGTATTCTATACCCTGGAAACGGTGTTTAACATGTTCTGCATGGGATACCACATAACGGGCTTCATGACCATCGACCTGAGTATATTCGACTGGCAGGAGCAGGCGATCCACTACTTCTACCTGGTCACCTTCTACGTTTTTATGGTGCTGACCCTCTTCCAGAGCGTCAATATCTGCACGGGTCACACGCCCACCCTTTACATGGAGATCTGGAAGGCGTCGGCGGCATCCTTCGCCTTCATCCTGATATCCTTGACCTCGATGTGGGACGCGGAGCGGCAGTTCCATCTGTTCGTATCCCTGCCGGAAGTTCACGATCATGGTAACACCGACTATGTAGAGGATCCACCGGTGCACCCGTTCTTCCACTACCTTCAAGGCCAGTCCATCTCCTCGTTGGCCTGCGGAACGCTCTACTTGCTCCATGCCACCATCATGATCGATGTCAAGCTGACCGCCAATCTAAATAGAGGTCAGGAGAAGGGCAGCTACATGCCCATCCCACTTTTCGTCTTGGGACGTGTTATTCACTCGAAGCTTAACCGCTTCGAATGGTTTAAGGAGTTCTGCGACAACGAGACCATTCGCATATAGGGGCATTTTTTAGGAAATAATGTTAGTGCGCCAGAAATACTTTAAACTAGCAGATCCTTGTTTTTTAGACCGTAAAATTTAACAGTAACCAATGACCGTTTTTCAAAATTTCACTAGTTTTTATTACAAAACAAATATAATTTTTAAAATATGCTCTCGGTACAAAATCAATGAGCCAGGAAAGTTGCGAAAAATTTATAGTTACATATTGATATCATAAAGTTAACCTTGAATCAATTTTTTGTTGTCAAAATTTTATAATGGCATGCTTTTAGCTTTTACTTGGTGGTCCAATGTGTAAAACAATAATTATGAAAGATTATTTATGAATTCATTTTTTTAAACATTGAAACCCCTATTAATTTCGATCTTTAGGCGTGCCACAATGCAAATGGTAATCGTTTATCTCGGAGTGAGACCACTGGACCATGCAATTCTTATTGGTTAATGCTCGCATTGCTGAACAATTGCTATCTGCTTCAGCCATGAGTGAATCCAATGAAAGGGTTTTTGCGGAAAACCTAAATACGGTTTTGTATGGGAGCCCACTTGTTGTTGTGTGTGCCAAGGTATGGCAAAAAGGCTTTAAATTTTACACTTTTATGGAGCGGCCAATGCCGGGAAATAAAATGGATGGGGCCGGGTCATATGTCCTGCCGTTGATATCGGCTTAACTTTGCCATAAAACTGTCAGCGTCATGCCTTTTGCGGGGCCGGGTTGTTGGACAAATGAAATAAATTTTACAGCCAAATGGACAGAGCAGCCAAACAAAAAGACCAAATGCACGAAGGCCCAGAGATTTGTGTGCGTTTCTATATGAAGTGTGGGTGTGTGGAAGGCAAATCTAATGCGGACAACAAAAGCACCTGTGACCTGGAAAATGTCCCACTGTCCAGCCACCAAGTTTATGTCCGTGACCGTAGACGGTTCCGGTTCCGGGTTGGCTTTACGGGTCCGCTGTCAACAGCTGGGCGGCCCTTTAAGCCGCTTTTGGGCCACTTTAAGCCAGACACGGGTAAATATTTGCTCGAAGCATTGTTGTGCCGCCGAGAGTTCCACCCCGGCTCCAAATCAAACGAAGGCAGGAGGATGTTCATCAATTAAGTGTCATCAATCATTGGCGCATGGATCAAAATCAGTGAGTACAGCGACGGGCAAACATGTCACGGTACAAAATATCGTTTAACCTAAAATGCCAGGACCACAAAACCTATTTACTCCAGCTCTTGTGGAGTTGCCTTCTCAGAACCTCAGATCATCCCTCATTCGAGTTAACCATTTTGAACACCTAAATACACAAAAGCTAATGCATTTTCGGAGGGGTGGCGATTTCAGTGGCACCTTTAAGGGCATATCAATTACAATTGGTGACCCTGTCGGGTGACCCACTGAATTTCATCGCGGGCATAAAACTCAAAACGCTTAAAACTTTAAACGTTCGCCACTTGCTAAAGTTTGGCCATGCTTTATGGGCCGGCCACTAAGCTCAAATCAAGCGGAAATTCGAACACTCGGATTCGGAACGACTTGTGAAACAATGCTCCATTAATGGCGCCCAACGGTCCGCCCGCCAATCTTTTCCAATTCGAAATCAATGTCGAGCGGTTGCAGTTATGATTATTGCAGTTGTCAAAACTTTTTGGTGGAATGGTGGTGGTGCCTCTGCTGGATAATGGGCTGGGCAAACAGAAAGGAAAGGTTTATGCAAATGCCGGCAGGGCTTTTATACACTGGCAAACAGAAGGCGAGCGGAGGTCCAAGGCGATGGTTCGCTAAAAAATGCTTATGACTTGTGTAAACAATTTGGCCACAGTCCCGTGGTCCTTAGATATCCTGCCCGGCTCTCCAGTTACGTGTAGGTATGCCCCAACCCCATTCGCAAAACTCTGCTCCTGCTCCTGCTCCAGTTAGAGAGAAGACCGAAGGAGTATCTCCAGATCTGGTGTGTAAAAATATTTTATGGACTTTGGCATTTGCTGGGGAAAAGTTACTTTGCCCGATAAGCGAGCGTGTGTGACTTCCGTTTGTCCTTGCATGTCCTTCTTTTGCTGAAGAGAAGAACACAAACACACACACAGTTACACACTTGCTCGCACACATTTTTATGCATTTTCTTAGCGGCCATTTTTATGCCCGCACACGTTTTCCATTAGACATCAACAGGACTGTCATTTCCTTATTTCCCTCTGCGTTTCCTTGTTTGAACTCTCAGCATGGGTTAGCTGCCTAGTGGGTGTGGATTTTGGACAAGCTAACTTGAAACCTGTCACTCCTGCCACTAATTGAAAACTGGGTCAATTGCCGGGTAGCACATTAATCAAATGCGGAAGCCCCGCTTCGTTTTGCATTCGTCATTAAAGCAATTATCATGTTGGGACAATTACTCTTTGTTAGAAAGTTCCTGCTGCCAGCGATTGACTGAGAAACTGCTGGCTGCCAACTTCAAGCTGGGAAACTTCAAACTGCGAATCCATCCGCCAAATGAGAACTGCGCCAAGGTGGCATTAATCTTCATAAGCGTGACAAGTTCATTAGAATAGCAAACACGGCATTCATTTCCTACTTATCTGTTCCCCCATCCCGAGAAAATGCTACCCCTTGATGAGCTGCTAATTGAGACAGCGACTCCTCCTGAGCTTATGCATGGGCTTACATTTGATCAATAGGAGCATAAAATAAACAAATAATAAATGCTAGCTGTGGCAGGGAATGAGCAAAAGAAATAACTATGACTAATTATATAGAAAATCCAGGTATATATTGCTTTTGATTGTATAGTTTTTAAAGCGGATATCAGGTTGCTGGTAAATTTTCTATTTGAAATTGAATTCCTTTTGTATAAATCATTTTTTGAATATATAGCATAATGTTTCTAAAATTCTTAGATATTTGATTGAGCAAATATATAACTTTATGGGTACCCAAATAATTTAAAGAATACGTACTAATTGTAGGGTTTCAGTTTGCCCTATCTTGTATGGTTACAACTTTTATTCAGGTTGTAAAACAGTAAAAGGGTATGTAAAAATGATCCTTTATCCCCTTCTTTAACCCACTATACCCCTTTTATTTTCCACCGTGGTTCGCATAATTCCGCGGATATAATTTTTTAGCGAGGCGCTGGAGCGCGACGCGTATAATGCGCATAATTTCTATGCCACGTTGGTCACCCGAAAAGTAAATGTAGACACAGCAAAGTTGGCCGGAGACGGGGAACCACCGAGGTCGACCTTTGTGCCAGCACCACCCCAACTAAAACAACAACTGCAAAGGCTTTTGGCAATGGTTTTGCCACGGGGCAAGGGAAACTGGGAGTTGTGCCCATGAACAAAAGAGGTACATGCGAAAAATAAAACCTATTACCGGAATCATAATTATCTTTTATGGCCGCGTCTGTCATGACGACATTATGGCGTGGTCTACTCCTGGTTATCCATCCCTTTTCCCTATCCTATCTCCTATTTTTTTTTGCACAGAGAAAAACAGAGATAAATATCAATAATATCATTTCATAATGGACAACAATCGCATTTATTCAATCCAAAATATTTTTTTTATTTTTAAATTGATAATATATATATAAATAATTTAATTGTTGTAAGTCACATAAGACATAAGCTAATACCGAATTGGTTAGGATTTATTGAATGGTTTTCCAGTGCATTATACTGTATCTTTTTCTCTATCTCTCTCTCTGCACGTAGCAATAAAAAACCGCGAAATGCGGCCAAGTAGCGGCAGAAAAAAGTAACATAAATTACACACAAACCCCCAAAGCCCATAGTGGGGTTAAGCCAGGAGGGAGGGATGTGTGCGTGTTCGGGGGTCCCACAAATTATGTAGTCGGAATAATATTTTCATTACAGCCAGGAAAACAGTTTCGATTCCCCCTCGCAGACATCTGTCGCCACTTTTGCCTTGGCCGGCTGAAAACAGGTGTTTCCTAATTTATTGGCTTGGCCTGCAGACATTCCCCATTCCAAATAATAATTGCCATCTCACCACTGCGGAATGTACTTGTACCTCCTGCGAATTTATTATTTAAAATGGGATGGGAAGTGGAAAAAACATTGTCTGCGGCTGGCAGACAAATCAAAGTGCCAACATTGCTTGTCATGTGTTTTTTAATTTCTAATATTTCACGCGTCACACCCACACCCATTGGGAAAGTACACCCCATCCAATTTTCACCACCCCAATGTAATGCTAATGCCTGGCTGACAGAGGCCGCTGCCATTGTTGTGCACTTTGCTGCAAATTATGCGAGACACGTCGCCCCAGCCGCATTATTCGCATCTGAGCAGATCGAAAAAGGCCAGTACTGTGGACGTCTGGAGGTGTGCCCGAGGTGCATTTCCCTATAGAAAAGGAACAGGAAAAAAAGGGAGTTGGACTCATCCCCGGGCATCAATGGCATGGACAGCTCTACGTGTGATAATCCGAGTCCCGCTAAAGTTTTCTTAACTCGGGAAATCAGTTTTAAAGAAATACTAATACCTCTTAAAGGAGTTTTCGGTTTCAGTAACTTAAAATAAAATATTTTTTAAATTTAAATTATTAAATAAGTGATTGTGGTAATCACTTATATAATTGTCTAAAATTATTTAACATTATATTTTGAGACTTAAAGTAAGTTTAAATGAGTTGAATGATTTAAATATCGGGTATGGTACATACTTTGTTATGAATCCTATAATAATTTTGCATTGGAACTACTAAATACCCAACATTTTCTCAGTCTCAGTAACTCATGCTACCCTGTGAAATAAACAGGGCATATGGGGGTTTGTTGCGGTGGCTGTTCATTTCGCCCAAGGCCAAGTGTGTGGCATTCCCCTTTTAAAAAAGCGCAAAATGCACGTGCTTCCTTTGTGCGAATGCTGTTGTTGTATTTGTTGTTGTTGCTGTAATTGCTAGCCGCCGCCTGTTGACAGGATACTTCAACTATTGTTTGCCAGGATCCCCGACTCCTGTTTAATTCAGCATGAAATTGGTTTGTATTATGATTTTGCAGTCGCTCGCCTTTGGCGTTTGGCGAACACCTCAGCAAGTGTCGGCAGTCTTAAAGCTTTAAAACAGCACTCTTCCATAGAACAGAAATCCATAAAAAATATTTTCCTATTTGAGTATTTACTGCTGAAAAAGTTCACTTTGATGCTGCTTTAATTAAAAACTGCGCGCTTCGCGTAACTAGCACTTGATTAATTTTTGGTTGCACGCAAAAGTAACGCGAAAA